TAAAATCGTACATACAAATCTGACAAATGTGTCAGTGGGAGTGTTCAGGATTCACACGGCCAGTACACGTATGTAAACAGTGTGAGGAAATAGATCAAATGCCAAATGCAGCTATAAGGATGTTTCAAAATATCAAAACGGGTAATAAAAGTAAACGAGTCCGGTAAATGAGACCCTGTAGAATCATATTGTACGCTCTCAGTTCGGTTTGCAGGCGCGTCGGTCACCTCTGACCCTCAAGTCTGTGTTTGTGGCTGACTTGTATCGTGCGATTTGAACGAAATACTTCTTTCCGGTAGTATCTTAGGTGTTCCGTCTCCAAGCAGAACCGGTACATATAGAATACAACACGGGGTATTCCGTATAGCCCGAGGCACCAGCCCGACCTCGCGTCGCATCGCCCGACGGCCGAAGGTCGGGGGGAGATCCGATCCGCGGGAGAGCTGTGTTTTATTTATGTCATACCTACCCAAGGAAACACGCCTTTCAATGCGAAATGAGCGAAAATCTGGTGTCCCTAAATCCCCAAAATGCAACAACATCAATTCCAACGTCCGAACTTTGTATTCAAAATTTTTAAAAGCGGTGCAAGCGATTGGGCGTAACTCGTTCGAATCGTTCTATGGAGTGATTTGGCCCGGGGCCGTTCCTATCCTTGAAGTACGGCCCGGTCCGGAACACCCGTATCGAACGTAGTCGCGGCCCGCGCCCATGTATGACATAAGTAATGCCTCGTATTGTAGTGTAAGCAAGGAATATTAAAATAACCAAGAATGTTCACAAAGAATATGAAGGCACAAACATAGGGACTAGAAACTGGAGACAAAGATTTGGCTGTACCGAGGTCACTGATGGCGAGATAAAAATGAATCGTCGCCGTTCAGAAAACGTACGTAACCTCACCTGGCCTGCATGATGCCTGTGTCAGAACGTGAAGACTTCTTTGCAATCTTCTTTGGATTGAAATAGCTCTCAGACGAGTCCTTGTACTATTTACGCTGTTATAGGGGCCGTGATCGTTCTGTCTGTGACTGTCCTTCTGCCGACCTGACCTTTCCTATGGGCGTGTGTGCCGTTAAGACAACTCGTGTAGCACAATTGCCCAGGGTTGGAAGGTCTTTAGGCAAGGGTGGTGCCCTTGTTGGGTTAGTGATGATCAGTGATAGTGATGATTAGCGATAACATCGGTCTGAAGTTATTCCACTTCGCTGACTCGTAAAAACAGTTTTGAGGTGAGATGGGCAACAAAACCTGTAATTACAAGGCCACAGTAAGTACTCTCCAAGCATTGGTTTGTGTTTTGGGTTATTTTTGGCGTGTTGGGTGAAAGAAAAATTCCAGTGCAAAAAACGAACCCCGATAAAAAAGGCTAAAATACGCCAAAAATAACTCAAAACCCAAACCTCTGCTTGGAGCGTACACAGTAAGTACAGCAAGTATATTATATGTATGACTTTAGCGCGTGTTGATTTTCACCTGATTTTGAAAATAAAACCGAGCGGGAAAAGCAGGGACAGGCCAAGGAAACAGTTCTGATCTCATTCTTTACAACCACAACTACACCATAGTTTTTTAACAACTTATCTACAGTAAGTACAGGACCAGCATCGTAAGCTTTAACGTAAATTATGATCTGTGTAAAAGTACACACGGCGTAATTACGTTGGTAGAATGGGGAACAGCCGGAAATATTCTAATTTGTTCTTATTTTTGGTGATATTGCAACGCTTATAAAATTAAACCTTTCTTTTCATTTAGTATTTAGGGCTTTGTTTCCCGTGTACATATGCTTACATTCTCTATAATTCAATCCTGCACCATCCTTTTGTGATGGAGTAACGGGACTCTTTTTACTCAACCAAGTCATTTATTCAGCCGACGTTTCGGTGACCGTCTGTCACCGTCCTCAGGGCAATTCTGACTGGTTCACATAGCACTGTAGCCTCATCGAGTGCAGCAAACTGTACTCTCTAGCGAACCAACTCACCTGGCATCTTATCTATTTGGCCGATGTCTACTCTTACTGTTCAGCCGCCTCCCGAAGCCTGGTAGAGGCCAAGAGGCTAATTGCATTACAGCATTGGTGTCGCTGCTATAGATACATTTCCAAACGTACGATATTTACATATCTACACATATGCGTGGTTACAGGGAACTGTATGATCGAATAATGACAATCTACAAAAATGTAAATGATAATATGTAACATCACTTTTCCAAAATGATTGATTGCCACCACTTGATAAGAAATGATTGCAATGTTGGCACCAAACGTGTTTCACCTTCGTTTCCATTGTTTCAATTTTTCTTTGAAATGGATGGTTGTTTTTCTTTCTCCATAACTCAGGAAAGTCTTGAAGTATCAAAGACATAATTAACGTTAGATTTTGGACCCCAGTGGCTTTCCTTGGTACTGCAGCAGAGCTCCTTTTCTGGACATGCTCGGGTTATGAGCTGCTGTGGAAGACAGCTAATATGAAGAATTGGTGTAGGCAAGGTTATATTACCCCCTTGGTGTAAGTTTGGATCCATACTGGCAGCATTTGTAAAACTACAGAAACCAATTTTGTTTGCAACGTTGGGAGGACTCGAGAAGGGGTTGGTGAGGTAATTTCTTTAAATTGTTGCATAGAGTTAGAACTTCTCCCTTCTTACTCCATGGTTGTTGTTGTTATGTAGGTATCAACAATTAAGTAATAATTGAAATAAACAAATGTTTATTATGCAAATCAGGACACAATTTGCTTATCCGTGAAGTAGGTACATTTCATAATAGGATTTTCAAACATGTGACAGGTACTTGAAAAAATGAGGTAAATCAATAGATACATTCTGAGAGAGCTTCAGAAAATCAAACAAACTTTTGGAATAACATGAGCAGCACAAATATTCCATCATCAGAAGTGTTACATTTATAGGCAAGCCAGGAGAGCAATTCTGCGCAAAGTAGAGCCAAATGTTACATAAATACATATCATATAACTTTGTTATATATTACTATCAATATCATGCATACATACCACCTCACCTCAACAGTCCCATACATACATATAACATATACATATCTCCTATGGGGTCAGTTAGTCCTCACTACTTGTGAGAAATTGGGCTGGTCTCAATCATGATGTTTCTGACTCAGGGAGAAGAGTTGCTGTTACAGTTCTATACCTCTACTCTAGGTCTATGCCTAGAAGTGGCCAATTGGCCTTGCATTGAGCGACACCGTTAAAAAAAACATATATATAGTCAGTATATATAACAGACTGGGACATATTACTGCACAAAAAGAAAAGTACTGGCAAAGGAAAAGCACTGGAGTTCACAAAAAGCATTTAGCAGTTCGAAATGTTCCATTTCCAGATAAAACCAAGCAGTATAACCCAATGATATAATGTTATCACTGGTACACTCAAGTATAACACTTCTGCATGAGTTTTGTTTCTGACTGCAGCTGACTAAGGGACTCACATCATGCTCCAGAACGTGGTGTACATAGTTAGCACTCTCACAATTGTCCTGTAGTACATGACTATGTTTTGCACTTACTAGGTTGTGCACTTGTAGATGTTACTAGGTTGGACACTGGTACATGTTGCTGGGTTGGGCACTGGTTGGTACATGATACTAGGTTGGGCACTGGTACATGTTACTAGCTTGGACACTGGTACATGTTACTAGCTTGGACACTGGTACATGTTACTAGCTTGGACACTGGTACATGTTACTTGCTTGGACACTGGTACATGTTACTAGCTTGGACACTGGTACATGTTGCTAGCTTGGACACTGGTACATGTTACTGGGTTGGGCACTGGTTGGTACATGATACTAGGTTGGGTACTGGTACATGTTACTAGGTTGGATACTGGTTGGTACATGTTACTTTGTTGGACACTGGTACATGTTACTAAGTTGTATTCTGGTTCATATTACTAAGTTGTATTCTGGTTCATGTTATAAAGGTAACGGTAAAGGTAGTCCCGTAGTCCTTTTTAAGCCCGTAGGGTCCGTAGGGGCAGTGGTTCATGTTACTAACTTAAACTAAGTTGTATTCCGGTTCATATTACTAAGTTGTATTCTGGTCCATGTTGCTAAGTTGTACTCTGGTTCACATTACCTGGTTGGACTCTGATACATGTCACTAGGTTGGACACCGTTTCATGCTACTAGGTTGGATATACTGGTACATGCTACTGGTTTAACCATGGAGGTAGAAGAGGTTTAACACTGGTTCAAGTTTCTTGGCTCAAAGTTAAAACTGTGCACTGGAACATGTAAGTCTTACACAAAAGTTCACAATTACCAGTTCAATTCAAGGACATATTTCAATACAACTCAGATATCCACAGTTACAGTACCAGAAAGCAAAATGATTTAAGGCCAATCCTAACAAAATCAAATATGAAACAGTTTACGATAATGTTTAGAGGCCCGTTAATTTGGAACAGTATAAGTCATTCACAGCAGAATTGCCAATCCCTTCCAACTTTCAAACGACATTTAAAAACTGACCTAATAGAGAAGCCATCTACCACTTCCTGATTTGCTTTTGTTTTCCTTGTTTTCTTATGCTACGATATTTTCCTTGCGTTAATATTGGTTTCTTATGTTGTTCTTACCATATTAACTTATGATTTGACTAATGGAAATGTATTTTTTGTTGAATACGATATGTTTTTGATTGTCTTACTTTATTGTTTAGATATTTAGTTTGCCGTGTTAACTTTATATTATCTTGTTTGAGTTAATTTTCTCTTGTTTGTCCCTTAAGACATGCATGTTAATTGTTAACGTAAATAATGTTGTAAATATGAGATCAACAACAGGATTTGGGAGAGCCCACTAGATAAACCTCCTGGTTTCTTGGGCTCTCCTGCATGTATTTGATTGTACATAATTTCTTTTTATACCATTACTTTTTTTATTGTGCGAAAGGACAATAAACAAAAACAAAACAAATAATAAACAAGTGTATCTTGTTGTGACTTAAAAGTAACTCCTTAGTGAATTACTCTGTTCTTCCCCATTGGCACTTGGTTATTGTCTTGAGTCTGACCACATGACATGGGGCCATGGCTAGACATTTGGCAAGACGTCTTGTGACAGGCCAGGGTCTCCTTGCTCGCCTTGGGTTTGTCTGGGATGGACCAGGATAGCGGAGTCAGACCCAGCAGCGTGACGTGGCGATCGTACGCCTTGTTGTGGCGGAACTGCTCGTCTGTCCCATGGAGACGGTCCAGAACCCCCATCACACCGTAGCACTGGTTAAACCTGTGGAACAACATCACATCGTATCACTGGTTAAACCTGTGGATCAACAGCATCACACCGTAGCACTAGTTAAACCTGTGGAACAACATCACACCGTAGCACTGGTTAAACCTGTGGAACAACATCACATCGTATCACTGGTTAAACCTGTGGATCAACAACATCACACCGTAGCACTAGTTAAACCTGAGGAACAACATCACACCGTAGCACTAGTTAATCCTGTGGAACAACATCACACCTTAGCACTGTGTTTGCTTTTACACAAGTTTGACAGTACTGGAAATAACCAAGCCTACTTCACATGGTGGAAATTGTGTGCCTCTGGGGAGGGCAGCAGGGGGAAGTGGTAGCCGCTGTGTGAGATGGACGTGGCGGTGAGAGACAGGCAGAACCACAGCCAGACGGTCACCAAATGGGACCCCATCAGGATGGGACCTGGAACCCAGTACATGTACAACAAACAGGGTACAACAAAAGGCACATCTGTACGGTACAGCAAACCGGTTACATGAAAAGGAGCAACAAACAGTACAGCAAACTGTAGCACTCAGGTGAGCATAGGTTTAGGTCAGTACAGGTGAGCATGTGGTGAGAAAGGTCTACGATCTGTTCTTACCTGCAGCTACAGGAAGTAGGTTGGACAGGATGTTCTCCACAGGATGGGAGTACACAGCCGCAATCCCAATGGGGGCCGTCCACTCATGGTGCTTCTTGTGAATTCTCTTGTACAGAGCAGGCTGGTGCAGGAGCCTGGGGGGGAAACAACATGTCACAGGTATAACCATACTCAGTACATATCTACTAGTTGGTGAGGAGCAGCTGGATTGATCTGTGAAAGTTAAAGTTGTATGGTAGGAGGTAGATGTTACCTTTAATTTGTACTAGAAGTAGGCCTGACCTGTGACTAGTGGAGTAAGAGGTGGACGCTACCTGTTTGTCAAGAGTGGGCTTCTTAGGGAGTGCAAGTAGTAGAGTGGGAGGAGGATGGCACCTAAAATGAGGAGTGGGTCTGACCTGTGAGAATAGTAGAACATGACTTCCAGCACCAGCACAAAGACAGTCAGCTCCACCACGACCCAGTGGAACCATGGGAGCTCCCGCCCACACGGCATTCCGCGCCAGTGGAGGATGGGCGGTGCAGTTATGAAGACGATCGGACCAGTCACAATAAACTGGTTGAATAGAACCAACTTAATGGTTTTCCACAGCTTTACAGGGTCCACCTGTAAAGAAAAAAAAACTTTATGCAAATAGGATTTACTAAAACTTACTCATGAAACCTGGACAAGACGACGG